ACCTTCATATTTAAAGACCACTACAGCGAGAACTACGCGCAACGCTCACAAACACACCCTACAACACATTTTTGCCAAAACAGAGGCATTCAAACAGAGTTTTTTCCCCCGCACTGTCTCGGATTGGAACAGTCTACCTAAGTTCGTTTGCGAGGCAGACGATTTTGACGAAGTCCTTGAGCAATATTTGTGTTGTATTGAATATTGAATCATTGAAACTGTTATATTGCTGTTATGCTGCGTTATAAACTGTTATATTGCTGTCATATTACTGTTAAACTGTTATGCTACGAGTGTTGTGATAAATTGTTTGTGCCATATTGCTTGCGCTGCCAGTGTTGTTATCACTGATTTCTGTATTCTTTTTTTTCTGTAATTCCACTCCTGCCTGGGCCATGCTGGCCTGCAGTATTGTGAAATAAATAAATAAATAAATAAATTAAGCCAAGCAACTCAGCGTCGTCTCGTTGTTGCTGCGCAATGGTGGTCGTGTCGAGGACACCGAGAAATGATGTTTCCTCCTCCTCGGGTAGGGTTGCCGACTCAATGGGTGAACGGGACAAACAGTCGGCGTCCATATGTCGCTTCCCTGACTTATGTACGACTGCCATATCGAATTCCTGCAGCCTGAGACTCCAACGCGCTAATCGGCCGGTAGGGTCTTTAAGATTAGTTAAACAACACAGTGAGTGGTGGTCGCTAATTACTTTGAAGGGGCGACCATATAACTACGGACGAAATTTTGTAATCGCCCATACCACGGCGAGACATTCCTTCTCAGTCGTGGAGTAATTTGCCTCAGCGCGTGTCAACGTTCTGCTTGCGTAAGCGATCACCCTTTCTGTGCCCTCTTGCTGCTGCACAAGCACAGCTCCCAGACCAACATTGCTAGCATCGGTGTGAAGCATCGTAGGGGCTCTCTCGTCGAAGTGGGCAAGAAATGGGGGTGTTTGTAGTCGCTGGCGAAGATCGTTAAAAGCAGCGTCCTCTTCGTTATTCCACTTAAAGGTGACGTCTTCTCTCGTGAGGCGAGTTAGCGGTGATGCTATTCGTGCGAAGTCCGCGATAAATCGTCGATAATATGCGCAGAGGCCGAGAAAGCGTCTGACAACCTTTTTATTGGTCGGCATAGGGAACTGTTCTACGGCTGCGATTTTTTCAGGATCGGGACGAACACCAGCATGACTGACAACATGACCAAGAAATCGCAGCTCTTCGTAGCAAAAGTGGCACTTCTCAGGCTTCAACGTCAGGCCCGCGGACTTTATGGCTCGTAAGACCACCTCAAGTCTTTCAAGGTGCTCGTCAAATGTCGCGGAAAACACTATGACGTCGTCCAGATATACTAAGCATGTTTTCCACTTCAACCCAGAAAGCAGGGTGTGCATGAGTCTTTGAAAGGTAGCAGGGGCTGAGCACAAACCAAATGGCAAGACCTTCAATTCACATAACCCATCTGGTGTCACAAAAGTGGTCTTCTCGTGGTCTCTCGGGTCCACCTCGATTTGCCAATATCCACTCCGCAAGTCCATTGAAGAGAAGTATCGAGCGTGTCGAAGTCTGTCGAGAGAGTCGTCTATACGCGGTAGTGGATATACGTCTTTCTTGGTCACCTGATTTAGCTTCCGGTAATCCACACAGAAGCGCAGGCTGCCGTCCTTTTTCTTAACGAGGACTACAGGCGACGCCCAGGGGCTTTGTGAAGGCTGAATGACGTCATCTTCAAGCATTCTGTCTACCTGCTGTTGTATCGCTTCACGTTGTTTTGGAGCCACGCGATAAGGGTTCTGGTGAACAGGTCTCGCCGTTTCCTCGGTAATTATTCGGTGCCTGGTTAGAGGCGTGCGGCCAACTCTTGATGTTGTTGAAAAGCAGTCTTGAAATTTGGCCAGTAGCTCAAAGAGTCTGCATCGGTCGTCTTTCGGCAAAGTAGTGCTAACGTCCAGAACAGGTGCTGAATGAGAATTTAGCGACTCATCGACTACCTCCAAGTAGCCTTCGACGATATCGTCGAAGTAAGTGACAGCCGTGCCTTTAGGAAGGTGCCGGCGCTCAGCACTAAAATTGGTCAGCAGCAAGTCCGTGCGTCCAGCAGCAACTCCGACGATACCTCGTGCGACAGAAATACCGTGGGTGAAGAGCAGCGAGCTTATTTGGTCTGCAACTCCTTCGGCGTCAAACTGAGCAGCGGCGGCCACAAAAACAAGCGTGCATGACCTCGGAGGGAGAACCACATCGTCATCAGTAAGACGCAGTTGGTTTGGTCGCACCTCTGAAGAATTGGGTAAGCCCGAACTGTTGCAAAACGTAATCAAGCTCTCTGGTATGTTGATGACGGCACCATATTTCCGTAAAAAGTCCATGCCAAGGATTACGTCTCTGCAGCATGCGGTGATAACGACGAACGACGCAGTGAAAGGAGAACCTCCGATGTCAATTCTCGCGGTACATCTTCCCGAGGGCATCAATAACTGGCCTCCCGCTGTTCTTATATGAGGGCCCGTCCACGGCGTCTTCACTTTTCTGAGGCTGTCGGCGAGGTCCTGACTGATAATGGAAAAGTCAGCACCAGTGTCGACTAAAGCTGTTACTTTCTGGCCGTCAAGAAGAACACTAAGGTCAGCAGTAACAATTTCATCGTTTTCACGGCTTATTGGCTATATGACGTCATGCTGTGGGGGCTTCTTGTCGTCATCTTTATGGCCTGCAACCTTGCCCCTGGAGGTCGCCGCCCTCAGTTTCCCCGGTGCGGGCTAGGTGACCTTCTTGTATTAAGGTCCGCGTAGGTGCGGCGGTGCGACAAAGGCGAACGCGCGGGGGACGGAGAGCGGGATCGACGTCTCGGACCAGGAGGGTTAGCAGGCATTGCCTCCTCTGCAGTGGTAGAGCCGTCCTAAAAGTGAGAACGGTCTCCATAGAAAGAGGTGTCGTCACGGCGCGGAGTGTATTCGTCGTTGGCACGTCGACCGTCAAACCAAGGTCGATGAGGGCGGAATGAATCACCTGGATGCCAGCAATGACGCGCAATATGTCCTGCACCTCCGCAGTGAAAGCATAGTGGACGTCTGTCCACTGTGCGCCATGCATCTGTTTTCCGGGTCGGTGGACGCGTCGATGCCCATGGGGTGGCTGTGGACGGCTGGTTGTATGGCTGTAGCGTGGGCGGTTGATGCGGTGTCTGCTCTTGCGGCGGATACGAAGGGGCCATCGGCACCTGGTGGTACAGCGTCGGCATAGCGGGTGGTGGAAGTCGGAGAGCAGCAGCGTAGCTCATAGGACGCTGCTGAGCATCAGGACTAGCCGTAGACAACGCTTGGTGGATTTCATCGCGTACGACTTCAGCGATCGACGCGATGGGATTTTCAGCAAGCGGATTCCGCAACCTCTGCAGTTCTTCGTGAACTATCTCCCTAATCAACTCTCGTAAGAAGGTCTGATTCTCAGATGTCATGGCATTAGCGTTGATTGGGACATTGCAGGACATGCGGTCATATTGCCTTCAGCGTTTATGAAGCGCCCACTCGATAGCCGTAGCTTCCTTAATGAAGTCAACCACGGTACTTGGAGGGTTGCGCAGTAGCCCGGCAAAAAGCTGTTCCTTGACACCGCGCATGAGGTAACTCAACTTTTTGTCTTCCGTCGTGTGTGGGTTAGCTCGTTGAAAGAGACGAGTCATGTCCTCGGCAAACATTGCAACGGTTTCATTGGGTTTTTGAACCCGTAGCTCCAATAACTGCTGCGCACGGTCCCTTCTATCGATATTGGCGAAGGTATCGACGAACTTCTGTCGAAAGTCGGGCCAAGCTGACAGATTGCCTTCTCTATTCTCATACCAAGTACGAGCACCGTCGTCATGGTAGAAATAGGCACGTGAAAGCTTTTCCTGTTCCGACCACTGATTTACCTTGGCAACACGCTCGTAGTGGTCCAGCCAGTCGTGAACGTCTTCATGGGCACCGCCACTAAAGCGATCGGGAACGAGGGGTTGAAAGAGGGTCACCTGAGGTGGGTGTGTTGGAAAGCTGCCTTGGGGCACCTGTTGCGGGCTTGCGTTGGCCATTGGTTGAGGTGTGCGGTGCCTAGCAGGTTCCCGCGAGTGAGTCAGCTCTGGCGCGAGGCCTCGCAACCGTCGACTGGAGTGATGCACCAGTGTTTCTAGAGGTGACAATGCGTTTCGACTCGATGAACGGCTCCCAGCGGGCGTGTGGAGAATCAGGCAGGGTTGCGGCCCAGCTCCTCCACCAGTGTCGCGGTACAACGCGAATAAAACACAGATACACCTTGTTACGACGAAAGCAGCGTGTGCTCAACAGCTGAGCCACAAGATCGTCTTCTTCGGCCTCGAGAGAAGCTAGAGGCCCACTAACTCGTGTCCACTAAATCCCCCCATCATCGTTATCGTCCACATGTAGACACGCGTCAATATATATATATATATATTTATATATATATATATATATATATATATATATATATATATATATATATATATATATATATATATATATATATATATATATATATATATATATATATATATAACACAAACAGCACTTTTCTCATTATCTTTCAGAAGTGAGTGCAAATTACTTTGCCGCACTGACGTTCTGGCTTGAATGTCATTGTCCGACACATTATATGAAAAAGAATATCAACTGTTGTATATTTGAAAGTATATATGTACATGTATACTTTTAAATATGAACCACTATAGCTATTCCTTTCACATAGCACGTGTCCATCAATGACATTCAAGCCGGATTGCAGCTTTGCATTTTCCACCGTACGTAATTAAAGCAGAGAGGTAATACGTTTTCTGCTGTGACGTCTGCACAAAGATAATGAGAAAAATGCTCTATTTGTCACTTATTCTGGTTTCGTTTGTCAGGCTTACGTCAGTGGTCGGGTCAACTACTTCCACTTGCTTTTTTACATGGAAAATTAGGGTAGTATAATGAACTTTGTCTGGGTTAAATATATATAAATGCTATAGGACTGAACAGTCGGGCTGATTTCCTGCATTGAATCTTGGTTGTACTGAACAAAGCAACTACCGAATTATGGGAACACTGCTGTTCATCGCAACGACCACTGTACTATTGGCTTCGCTTCAGAAATATACCAGTGCAAAAGAAGCGTACGAAACTCAACGCCGCGATGTACCAGATGCATTCCAGGTGAGCAGATGAAACTACTTTATTGGGTCCAAACTGAACGCGAGTAAACTCCGTGTCACCTGGCTAGGCACACTTGGGTATAGTAAATTGTTTGCTGTCCTCTGAGAATACTATACTGCTTAAAGCGGTCATGACATGCTCACGCAACAATGGACGGTTTTCGGCGAAAAACGAAGGCAGCGGGTCAAATAAGCTTGTAAACGTGTGAAAACTCGACTGCAAACAAAGTATTTCAGTCTAAAATAAGGCGTAGGAGTAATCGGCTGCAAACTCTGCCCACCGCCGTCGACTGCCATTTTGTCATGGTGTGCGTGACGTCACAAGCCGAAGGAGGAGTGTCGTCATCTGCTACTAAACAGCACCTTCCGCACGCGGTGAGTGTTGCTAGTGTTCCTTGTCACGTGGCCCTGACGTGTCAGAGAATTGCAAGTGTTGCGATGTGTTACTGGTACCATCACCATATATGGCGAAGACGTCGTGTACGTTGTGCCTTTTGACTTCGACTCCCTCGCCACGAGCCGAAGAGACGAAAAAGGCGTCGAAGATGGTGTGAACCAAGATGCCAATGACTTCGCCGTTGTGGCAGACGTTCAATACAGCTTTCCGCAATGATAAATAGCTTTATTTCAAGCGTGTCAGATTGAAAGGCAAGGTTGGGATACGGGGTCTGGCGACGCTGCATTTTGCGAGCAAGTGTTACTTAGTACCGTGGAATTGGCAAAGCGTACAGATTTTTGTTGGCTAGCATTCGTGAATGCACGACTTTAGGAGCTGACCTTAGTAATTATGTGGCTCTAGCAATGCCGTGCGTCGGGACTGCTAGTTTTCCATCGGTTGGTGCGTGCGGCATATGTGAGTATAAGCTGAAGCGAACGGCATGTCAATGCGGCCCTAGGGTTACTCACTATATACATGCTGGCCGAATCTTTGCTTGAACTCTGTCGATTGTATTCGGTTCCCGTAAAAAATAGCAAGTGTGACGCTCAACCATCGTACTGCCTGCGAGGAGTTTCAATAAAATATGTACCCGTAGCGGAAAACGGCATACGCGTTGCACTTCACAGGGCACTTTATGACCTCCAAGATTGCTTGCTGCTAGAACCATCGCTACATGGATGACGCGGTGGAATTGTTACAACCCCTAGAAGTCATTCAGTTGCATTGGCAAGCTGAACAACGAAGAAAAAATTCGATTACTAGCGCAGCTGACCACGGAACATGAACGTCCCCTGAATTGCAGACCACGCAGCAGCTCGTCCAGCAAGTGGTTAATGACATCATGACTGGCGAGCGCGTCAGTTTTGCCCGATTCTGAAGCCTATCACTCGTTTAGAAAAATAATCGGTTATAAATTAACAGCTCGACAAAATTCGCTCAAGTTTCGCCAGCTTGTCTTCGAACGTACTACAATCTACCCACACAACCCAGATGGTGGTCGAAACTTGAGTGTGATGACCCCTTCAAAGGGGCGTTGCAACACTTTCCCAAGTAACCATGGAATTGATTCACTAAAGGAGCTTATTGCCTCATAAGTTGAGCACCACAAAAATTTTCAGAATTCGATTAGCACGAGCGGAGTTCAAAGATTTGTCGCATGCTGCAAGTGCACTCTCTATTCTCTCGTCCCGACGTGATGGATGCTAGTGATGGATGCAAGTGATGGATTCTAAGCAGCGGGGGATGGCCCGAAGCGAAAAATAGTCACTAGTGCCTCGAAACCCTGACCATTTTCCCTACTTTTTCGTTTGATTGAGTGCGTGGCTTTTCAGTTCTATCTCGCGTGCACACGTCGCCAAGTCTCGCGCTCCCGCGGCGGCCTCAGTAACGACCGAGCGCACCTTGGCTGATACGATGGCCAACGTCTATTCGCATATGTTTCGAAAGAATCTGGCAGAAAGAAGTTGAGAAGGTACTGACCACGACATCATCATGGGAAATTATATGTGTTGCGATTGAAGCGTGACTATGTTTGCAGGGAGCATGCTTCAAAGTGAGAAACCAACTTTCATTCAAAGGAGAAGCAATCGCTGTGTATTACAAATAAAATAATATTTAAAAATATGGTGTAAGTGTAATGAGCAAAGAATATATGATAGATTTTATTATTACAAAAATATTTTTTCAGTGACCTCTGTCTACGCCATTATTTTTCAATGCAGCCTTTGCTCTGCATAGACAGACATGCTCATAAAAATCATCTGTGATGTGCCGATGACAGACGCATTCACGTGTTTTGGCGTTCGTCTGCTATGCAGGAAATTTTGAGGCGTACAGCTGTAACAAAAATGTAATTTTTGGCCTGAATAATGGCCAACATCATTACCAGAAATAGCTCTACGACACACTCCTGCCTCACCTGGCTGTATCTACGCGTTTCGCGCTTACTCTTGTCGGAAGAGAAATTGTGGTCGGCCTAGAGGATAGACACGACGCGCGTTACGTATCGCTCTAGTGCAGCCGCAGTGTTCTATAGCTCTCTGATTTACCGCAGTATGGCAACCTTAGCTGAAGTTCAACGTCCAATAAGCCTTGCTGTTCTGGCTTTCGCATGGCCTTCTTTCATCTGGCAGCACTAACTGCAAAAGCTATACTATAACGGCTTTTTCATCCCGACAATGATGTCGGGATGTATCGTTGGAATGGGTATGTGACACTAAGCGTCAACTTGGGTGCATCCACTTTCAACCGATATGTGGGGATAAATATAGCGCGAGAACAGAACGATGACAAAGGGACAAGATGGAGACGAGCACTGTTCTCGCGCTATAACTATCGTCCTGCCATACCAACTAGCCCGAACTGCCACACTTCAAAGTTAAAATGTGTGGGGTTCCACGTCCCTAAACGAATAATTATATGAATAAGAGTGGTGCCGTAGCGGAGGGCTCCAGAAATTTCGGCCACTTGCGGTCTCTAAATTACCCGTTTTGAGTAAGCATGGAATTAATTCACTGGAAAAACGTATTACCTCCCAAATTCAGCGCCACAAAAACTCAAGAATCCGTCCAGTATGAGTAGAGTTACAAAGATTTGTGACACGCTGCACTCGCGTTCTCTCTTTTCTCGAACCGATCAAAGCACTGGAAGCTAAACAGGAAAGGATGGTAGGGGAAAACAAAAAAATTACTCGCGCCTCATGACCTTTAGAACTTTTCCTTTTTGTTGCTTCGAATACGCGGATTTATCAGTGCGATCGTGCGCGCAAACGTGGACAAGTGATGACCTCTCGCGGCCACCTCTGTAACAACTAAGCACGCCATGTTCAAATAAGCCAATGGCTGATAGATGGGCTTGCTACGTGTAATTTTTGGGCTTATTGTGATTTGTCGAGAAAAGAGAAAGCTATTTTTAGCTAACTTTGATAATTTTTGTGAATTCCAAGCCGCGTGCTGCCCTATAATATATGGCTCGAGTCTTGTCGGGAGCTTCCACTACCTATCGGCAGCGTTTTCTGACCATGCCCTACAAGTGTGCAGGGCTCCTTTAACGTGCGTGCATCCACTTGAAATCGGGCTATAGCTGAGAAGCACTTATACATGTTGTTGACGCTCTCAAAAAGCCATTAACGTTCATCTACTTCTGTGAAGGCATGTTTCACTTTCGTGTATACTGATGCCTATCATGGATGGATGAAACATATTTTGTGTTCTACTTGTGTAACTGAACATGTCTACCTAACGAACTTTTGAAGCAACAGTGCTGGGCAACCAATTGCAATAAAAAGTGGTATTGTAGTTTGCAAAGCATTCGAAGAGAGTTTCCATGTGTTAGTTAATATTGGCAGATGCCCGCGACATGCAAAAAAGTAAAATGTCGTTCCTGTGTAGCAATTGACAAAGTTGAAAAATTTTCCGCTAAGCGCTGCTAAACTGCTATTCAACTTCGCCCAGGATCGTTTCATTTACTTGAGCAAGAAAGACTGGTCAGCAGCGTTATGGAGCCTTCACGTAGCGAGTGCGCTCGGAAAGAGCGGTACCCGAGTGCCCATTGTGACCTTTCATGTGAAAGGGCACCATTTAATGACCTCGTACTTCACAATCACTTGATATTGAGAAGAATCGAAAACTGGGAAACTACACAACGATTCACAGCTCGTCGAGGTAAACTCCCCCCCCCCCTTCCGAAAAAAAAAATGCGAAGACACAGTAAAAGAAGAAAACGTGCCATACAAGCGCTGAATTTCAACTGAGAAAATTTAATGAAAAAGCACTACCAGGATATATTTTTTCACGCATGCTCTCACAAGGCAGAACTGTAAACAATTCTGTGTGGACATGAAGTGGCTTATTTTAGCAACGATAACGGTTGAAATGGTCATATTTCATTATCATGAAGGGCGATTGGCAATTGACGGCTTACTTACGCAGTTTTGCCAGTGCGTTTTGATTTTCGTGGTTTCGAATATTTCTTTTGTAAGCTGGTTTCGGTATCCAAAAAGAAACCTCCGTATCAAAAAATTTGCAGTGCACTCGCAGTCCCGGCAGTGCATGGCCAAGTGTGTCCCTAAAACCAACTAAAATTCCACAATGGGCATAATGCCCCTTAAGAAATTTTTGTGCTCCTTCAGTCTCTATTTTACACACTGCCCGTACGACCAATATGAAAGCTTCCACACGCAAATGGTATCTTGTATACAACTGGAATGGCACATGGTATGAACGTACTCTTGTGTTCATGAAGCATGCATTATTTACCAACGCGCCGTTGTCGGCACGTTTACGCACCACGCGCAAACATTACCAACCTTGTTCTTGGCCGCGAGAGCCACTTCGATATCATCACAGGTTTACAGGTCCATAGATGACTATATCAGTTGGGACTCGCTCACGGGATTTCGTGCCGACCGGTTGTGCCCCCGCGATCTCCGTCGACAGCGCAGCTCTGGCCGACTGGGCTCCCCTCTACGCCATCTCCTGACGCCGACAAGAGCTCTCACCGAATGATGCCCCGTCATCGGACTCCTGCAACCGTGTCCATCTTTCCTATCCCCTCTTTACTTCCGTCGTTTTCTGTCGTTCACAGTACCTGCGCCTCGCTCTCTTCTTCCTCTCCTCATCTATTTACCTTTTAATACTATCCTTTTAATCCATCCTTACCCCATTCCTTGTGAGCTACTGTTGAGGTGCCGCACTCAGATGCAGACAGTTACAGGGCTCACTTTTCTCTTCTTTTCTCTTTAAGAATCACATAAGACTATATCAGTTTCGTGTATAGGAGCAACATTGATTGATGCGTAAGGTTTAACGTCCCAAAACCACCATATGGTTATGAGAGACGCCGTAGTGGAGGGCTCCGGTAATTTCGACCACCTAAGGGTCTTTAACGTGCACCCAAATCTCAGCACACGGGCCTACTATATTTCCGCCTCCATCGGAAATGCAGCCGCCGCAGCCGGCATTCAATCCCGCGACCTGCGGGTCAGCAGCCGAGTACCTTAGTCACTAGACCACCGCGGCGGGGCTAGGAGCAACATCAGGAACAACGCTATTAACATTCTCAAAATCTTCAGGCAGCTCTTGGTTCAGATATACATATGAAATTTTGTCGCAAGGTTCGTTGCAGTACTTAGAGCAGAGCATATCCTTTAATGAAAAACAAGTAGGCTGGCAATTTCATCATCGCAGTTCCTAGCCCCCGCTTTCTTTCGCTTCTGCTCCATTAAAAATCATAAAAAAAACAGTATCACCTTTTCGCCCTTGAAGTGTGCAACGACTACGTTATGTGATCATAAGATGCCCGCTGGCGTACAATCACAAGTACTAAGGCCAAAAGGAGCTAGTTATCCCGAAGGTGTTGCTGGCTTTCGATAAGCTTATGCAAAATTCGAAGAGTGAGGTAACAAAGCACCAGGCAAAGAAAAGGAAAGGGGAAATTCGTCATTTTACCTTGCGTTCACTAACTGCCACATGGGCTTAAGATTGTGGGTTAACTTCGTGGTATTGAAGTAGTTTTCGCGGATATATGGTCGGCAATGTTGGCACGGTGGTGAGGGAACGTGCCGAAAGCAGCCCGTTGATGAATAATGCATGCTCCATTTAGGCACAAGATTATGCTCCTACCATGTGCTATTGGAGTTGTATACAACATACCCTTCGCGTGCGGAAGCGTTTATATTGGTCAGACGGGGCTGGGGGTAAACTCGAGATGAGACAGCACTAAAACTCCCGCGGAGTATTGTGGCTTTGACAAATTTGGCCATGCACTGCCGCAATTTCAGGTGCACTGCAGATTTTTCGAGAAGGACGGTTCTTTTCCGCTACCATGATCAGCTGACAAATGAATTATTCGATGCCCACAGAATTCAATAGGTGGGGCCAAACTGCGTTAGTCAGCCGTCAATTGCCCTCCATGCTAAGAAATATCATTTTTAGAGTAATTCAACCGCTGTCGTTGCTAAGATAAGCTGCCTCGTGTCTACACACAAGTGTATGCAGTTTTTGGTTTGTGAGAGCATGCGCGAAAAATGAAAATGTTTGGTGTTTATTGACTGATATGTGGGGTTTAACGTCCCAAAACCACTATATGATTATGAGAGACGCCGTAGTGGAGGGCTCCGGAAATTTCGACCACCTGGGGTTCTTTAACGTGCACCCAAATCTGAGCACACGGGCCTACAACATTTCCGCCTCCATCGGAAATGCAGCCGCCGCAGCCGGGATTCGAACCCGCGACCTGCGGGTCAGCAGCCGAGTACCTTAGCCACTAGACCACCGCGGCGGGGCTGTTTGGTGTTTATTCAAAAAAAAAAAATTCTCACATAAAAGTCAGCGCTCTGTTTGTGTCCTTCTTTTACACTGTCTGTTTGTTTTTGCGCTATTTACCCGCAGATCACTTGGTATTGTTCACTGTGAGCAAGGGATACCTAGCACTTGCTTACAAGGGCGCATTTGTTGCATAGCAGTGAACTGTATCACGCAAGTGTAAGTATTGGTTAGTGCTGCGTAATATTGACTGCAGCTACCATATAGAGATATATAATCAATATGAGCGGCTAATTTTTGGGAGATCTTGCGAATCATTGCTAGACATAGTTGACTAGTTGTTAATGTTCCCTTCCGCTATTTAAGCCATGACTCGTTCACGTGGGCAACGTTATGGGTAATGTTGCCTAAATGTCCACTGAAGCTTAGCTGCCAGGAACCACCTCGCAGTGCAAGGCCTGCCCCGGAACTACTGAGAGAACTAGAAACAGTTCCACCAACGTTGCCGTCTCCGAAATAGAAATACCAATGTTCGCTTGTATTACAGTTTTTTTGGATGCTGTTGAACTATAACGTGGCAGGGATATAGGCACAATGAGGCGCATGACAGTACTGCTGCCTGTAAAAGAAAAGAGCACCCCGGTGTTACGCGTAACAGTGTAGGTGCCATAGTTTTGTGGTGCGAAAGGCGACATCCCCAGACTCACAGTACGAGCAGACACACCATCGTTGTTCGCACTATCAGAAATGTTTTCCTACGTCCTTATTGCACATGACCTAAACTGCCGCGTTGAATGTTGACGTTTGGTCAATGCAGAATCCGATAACTGCGGGAAACAAAAACTGGTCAAATAGGTGTTTGATTACTCGACCACCGTCCTATCGCTGCGCCTATTCTTCAATGTTTTGCATCCTAATATTACGTGATTGATTGTAATGTTGTTCTTACATTCTAGATGTATGCTCATCTTGATGACGTGTTGGGTGTCTCTGATATCAACGCTGATGGCGTATTCGAGTGCGTGGAAGCTGTACGCACAGAGTACCAAGAGGATCCAAAAAAGGCGACATTTGTGTTCTTATTCAAAGGCCACCATGGTACAGAAAAGTAAGGAAAGTCAGATTCGTTTTACGAGTTTATTATAGGCTTATCTAGGATATTTCTTCTAAGAATACACGTTTATGCCTGATATGAGCAAAATCATGCAAATGTAATTTGGCTTCACCAGTAATGAAAACACTAATGACAATTAATAGACAAAAATACCAACGAAAGTAGGGGGACATATAACGGGAAAGCGCTAAAGAGCTCGTTTTTGCAGAAACTCTAGAGCTGGTGATGGCGTCGGCATCGTTAGTGGTGAGCTAAAGATTGTCATTTTGTGCCCTTTCGCAAAATTGAATGTGTTGCAAACAAAACAAATTGTGAAAATTTCCGGGTCTGATATGAAATCAAGCCAGGGCCGTTTTGCGTGTGAAGCAGGTGTTCAATCGCACAGCCACGTCTCAGCTTGAAGATACAGTTAAAATAACTTTCTGTTCTTGTAAATTCCTCGGAGTTTGTCCCTGCCTCACATGAGTCGCAAAGGGAGCGGCAGCAGTGACATTAACTTTTCCGGTACGCACCCAAAGCATGTACCGCATTGTGGCCATTTCGCCGCACGCTTTACACGCATCCGTCGGGTATAGGTTTGGATAACGGAAGAGACAGGGGTTAGTCCCATCTTCCCCCCCCCCCCCCTCGCCTGGAGGAAACTGCCGGACTTCAAATAAAGTTTTTTTTTTCATTCATTCTTGTAAATGCAGTGAAAATATTGCTTATGGTATGAAAATACCCTATTGACCTTGAAATAACGTGTCCGACGCTGCACAAACTCTACGCCAGCGGCCATCATCCCCTCGTCACATTTCTTGAATATATATGTTCATTTAAACTTGAGAGGGCATATTAGCACTGGAAGTAGCCAAGATGGGTGGGTGTTGATTTGATTGACTGACTGATTGATTTGTCGAGTTTAACGTCCCAAAACCACGATATGATTATGAGAGATGCCGTAGTGGAGGGCTCCAGAAATTTTTACCACCTGAGGTTCTTTAACGTGCAACGGTTGGGTCTGGCTACTTTCTACTCCTTTCCATAATTCTAAAGTTCCATTTTTATTTCGTGTATAGTGAGGGTTTTCTTCGGGAAGACTTGATGCCTTCCGGTCGTGCGCGAAGGATTATTGGTCAGCTGCCACATAGTAATAGAGAAACGTCTTGCTTGACACCAACAAGCAGTAAATTGGTGTTTCAAATTCGCCGTCATGGCTACTATCGGCGCTGCTCAACATATGTACGGGTAAAGTAATATCGTAGTGATGTTGCATGGTGCAAGCGTGAATTGTCAGCGGGCGTCGAAACATGTAAGTATCACCCCAGCTGCTTGGTTTAAAGCCATCAACCCATTTCGAGGGGTACACACGTTACTGCACATTATCATGGTGGATGCATAGCAAGTTCGAAAAGATTTGATGCGCATAATTGCTAGTGAATTAAAACTGCTACATATTACACAAAATGCAGACATGGGCGAAAAATTCATTGACACAAGTAACTTCCAACTTTATTCATTACACTATACCTTTTAATCCACAATTTAATCTTCTCGAGTTACATCATGCCATAAAAAGCATGCACTAAGTGGTTGAGTACGCACTAGGGACAAGACATCACTATCTCGTTTAAATCTTAAACGCGAAGCTTAAGGATGCCCAATTCTTTTGGTAGTTATGATATAATTGTGAGGAAAGAAAACAGTATGAAGAGACAACTTACCGATAACAGAGACAGAACCTGGAAACTTAGAATATTGTGTCCGATGCTCTACCAACTGAGTTACAGTGGCGGAAACTGCCGGTGTACAACACGGCATGTCTATGTTGAGCAGCACCTACAGTAGCCGTGACGGCTAATGTGAAACACTATTTTTGTGCCTGGTGGCATCAAATAACACGTGTTCTTATTGCTAGTTAGCAGCTCACAAATAATTCTTTGAACTACCTGAAGACATCAAGTCTTCCAGAACACAAAGCTTGCTATAAATGAAGGAAAGTGGAAATTTAGGGCCGTTGAAAAGAATTGAAAGTAGCCACACCCACTCGTCATGGCTACTACCGGCACTTATATGACCTCTCAAGTTTAAATGACCATATAAAACCAATAAAGGTGACAGTGTAATGACGGCTCTAGGGCACAGTTTGTTCCGCGTCGGACCCGTTATTCCAAGGTCACAGGTTCGATCCCTTCTAGCGAAACATCATTTGGTCGCCCAATTTTTTTTCACATATATATCATATTTACTGCAAATAACTTCTCTAGTTATATACTTCTTGGTATTATTGTCTGTTTCTAAAATTATTGGGTCGAAAAAAAAATAGATCCCTTGAATATCAGCTTTCCTTGGCCATGAAAATGTAACATACAATACGACGAGAATTCTGAGTGTTGTAACAGTCGCTATCGAAAATAAGGTATTTTGTTTTTTGCCTAAATATTTTGTGAAGTACATGACATTTAGGACATTTCACTTCATTCCAGAAAAAATGTCTCCTTTAACATCAGCCCCGGTACCACCCCGGACACAATAACCTTTTATTTGGACAACGGTAAGTAAAATTTTGAGTTTCAGAGGAACCTTATAATTTTTTTTACACTAACCGCAATAATATTTTGGGAATAGTGCATTTTCATATGGACGCAGCCCACGCTACCTTGCCACAACAAACGAAGGTGTGCATTTGTCCATATGAACGCTCTCTCACTTCTATGACTGCTTGAGACAGATCCCTGGTTATCACATGCAGCCTCAGTGAGACGAAAGCCTGAAATCTTACTGAGCTGGTGGAATGAAACTGATTTGAAATAGGCCTTATAGAAGTCTTGTCCTTACCAAAAACCATTGACGCGGATAATGACCCAGCGTGGCCATCTCTCGCATGTGATAATTATCCGCGCCACTTTCGAGCACGGTTGACTCGGATACAGCGTGAACAGATAGTAGTCAAGTGTGAGACACCTTTGAAACTTGCCTGTTAGAAATAGTAAGCCAAACATCAGCGTATCACAATTACAGCATAAGTGGTATTATGAACAAATCTTCAGTAACCTGAAGCACTAGCTATGTAGCTTAACAATAGACTTCAACAATAGGATCTTAAGCGAATGATAATGGGCGAGAGACCGCATTTTGAAGTATATGAACGGTTGCCGGTTCTTGTTTCACTGCACGCATAAGGCCTCGCTCTTTTGGTCTGACCTCGCTTGAAGGTCGCCGAAAACGGGAGTTGTAAAAATTTGTTAAGTTAGCACTAAGCCAGGCTAGGCTTAAACCAGTAGGAATGGACAATTATGAAGAGTAATACTCATTTCTTTCTAGACCTAAACCAGCTAACTCAGGTTGTTTCTAGCATGCTAAGTCATTGTTAGGCTTTAGCTAAGTGATGCTAGGTTCTTTCTACGTTCATTTTCAGTGCGTAGTGGTTTCAGCAAAGCCACATGCAGTCCCGGACACGGTAAGGGTGTCCAAACATCAGACACAGAGTTTTGCACTGAAACAGTACATTCGAAGGACTCTGAAATCTAGCGATACGTCATCGTTAGCGTAGGCTTTCCGTCACTTCGGCATCTTCACATAGTCAGCGTTGGCTTTCGGGTTTTCTGATGTTTTCTCGTTGTATATAGTCTGGGCCTTCGGCTTGCCGCCGTCACTTTGCAGCCTTTTATCGGGTTAACTGCTACCTGGTTCAGTTTCAGTCTACTTGTGGAGATTGGTGGTATTTACCAGTGTCTGTGGTATATTATGAATGTTTTCGCTTTGGTGACATAGCGCACATCCATCAGCCGCACACATTATGGCTAGCATAAACAACTTCGCTGTTAATCAAAAGCGTTTCAGGCTTAAATGTCTGCAGCGCTTGTTTACATACGCCAGGAAGTGCTGCGCAGAAGGCTTAGCATGACTGCGTTATAGAAGGCTGTGTTGGAGACTTATAATGCGTGAAATAGAAGTACACTGCATGGGGAAAAAACGACAGCGATGCATCGTGCTTACGTACCCAACTTCAGTGCCACGACGATGTATTCTGAATGATTGGTTCAAAATAGCCACACGTTAACTGAATGCTGTGTTATGTTTTACATACATAGCATTAAAATACAATGCCTACAGAAAAAGAATTTCGCTCAAGCTGTTCAGGGCACGTCCTTTGCAGCGGGTATGCCTGCTAAGTATGTCGACGCAACCCCAATGCCTCAGCTTGAGTCCGCCATGCAGCCTTTCCTGCCACCGTTCCGTCCATCGGCTCTTGCAACATGGGTGAGACCTACCCCGGCGAACCGATGGCGCTCACCCGACAACCAGTCCATCAGCTTTGGCTGCAGTTACGCCGGTCACGTAGCAAGTTATTGCTTTCACGTACAGCCGGCTCCCATCTCTTCGCCTGTTGCTGACCAGCTCTGCCGTCCCTATCACGAATAACCACCGTCTATGCCACCGCCGTCTCGCCAGCTCCGTCTCCTCGAAGGTCGCCGTCTCCATGACGTTGTTCCCTGTCCCCCATGCAGCCAAGTTTGGCACCTCGTGAGCGGGAAAACAGTCGTCGCCGGCCCCAAGGCCAGGACTTCAACGTTATCGCTAAGTGAAAGCCATCATAGCAGCCCCTCAGATGTCATTGACGTGCTTGTGGAAAGTGTTCGTGCATGAACTCGTTTTGACACTGCACCTGCCGTATTAGTTAACGACAAAAACAAAAACTGTGCCACTTGCTTCGAAAAGTGACGACGCCACTTTTTGGGTAGCCCCACAAAAAGATACTCGAGAGTTCGACACATTGCAGAGTTCGGAGGCATTGCTACAATTTATTTATTTCAGTCTTCCTTACGTTGATTTTGGTTTGTTCGAGGACTTTCTGATTTTAATCACTTTCCATAGGATTGGTCCACTAGCGCGCTATACGATTGAGGTCTATCTTTCATTGCAAACTTATGGTGATGATGCAGTCTGAAGGAAACGTCTACACCGGTCATGGCTTTGCCTATGTAAATAATGTTTGTAGAAGAACAATACGGGGATAGACCTTGAATGTTCACTTATCGCCATAATTAGCGGCGAATGGCATCACCAAAATGTAGTGCCTGTGATAAACAAATAAGGCTGTAGCCGGTTTATTTATTTATTTATTTTACCCTCAAGGCTAAGGACATTAAAGAGGGGAGTGGGGGTTCATGTAGGGGGAGCAATACAACAAAGAAATAAAGTACAGCAGCAACAACTATACATAAACACTTAACATCTGTTACATTGTTAATAATGCAGTGCGGAAGCGTTCATTATCTTGAATGCCAGCAATTAGTCCGGGAAGGTGGTTCCGTTGGTTCGATGTACGAGGAATGAATGACTGAAAACAAGTATTAGTGAGGCACGCCATAATGCCTACTTTGTGAGGGTGGTCAGTGCGGGATGAGACATACGAAGGTGCGGAAATGAGAGCTGTGCGTAGAATAGAGTTGTGGTAATGAATTTTATGGAACAAGGAGAGCCTACTGTGTTTGCGACGGGTAGCCAGATGAGGTAACTGCAAGGAATTTTTCATGGGTGTAACGCTATCTGTTCTGCTGTAATTGTAAAGAATGAAACGAGCGGCGTTGTTCTGGACAAGTGCTAATGATTTTAATGAGAGTTTCGCAGCTGGGGTCCCAAATTGAAGCTGCGTATTCCAGTTTGGAACTAACTAATGTTTTGTATAACAGTGTTTTCAATGAGATCGGTGCGCAACAAAATTTGCGGTGTAAGTAGCCTAACATGCGATTAGCGCTGTTAATTAAATTCTAACATGCAAAGACCAGGCTGTATAAGCTGTCTTGGCTTGGCAGATCAAGCCCGCTATATTTCCGGCAAGGAAGGCAAAAAGGACTACTGTCACCATAACCGAGTTCCAAGTCGAAGGTGGTGTGGAAAGGTGGGAAGCTCTGATATTTGGTACGGTCTGATAATGAAGAAATAAAGAAAAAATGAAGCACGAAGAGAATTTATTTGATATGAGGGGTTTAACGTCCCAAAAATACCATACGATTATGAGAGACGCCATAGTGGAGGACGCCGAAAGTTTCGACCACCTGAGGTTCTTTAACGTGCGCCAACATATGAGCACACGGGCTCACAGCATTTTCGCCTCCATCGAAAATGCAGTCGCCGCAGCCGCGATTCAACCGGCGGGTCAGCAGCCGAGTACCTTAGCCACTAGACCACCGTGGCAGGGCCGAAGAGAATTTAAGCCTAAATCATTGCTTCTTGTAATCCGCGACAACCTATAGTGAACCTTTCGTATTCATGTGATAAATGAACTTGTGTTGCCTTGTAAAACATGGTTGTTTTCATCCAACTTCATTCTTTAAGATATCCTCAATAGTAAGTAGTCGTAACGAGATAGCTACGCAACGAAACAACTTAAAAAAAGAGGTTATGAATAGCTGTTTAATTTTCATTGCTGGTGAATGCCGCAGAAAAGTATGTGTATTACATGCAGCTGCGTCATTTGCGCTGTGACTGAAGATGCCGTTTTGGCCAGCAATAATTCATTTTTGCACCATCTGAATGAAGGTTTTGTTATCGGTTAAAGAGTTCGTACGAATTCCACGGTATACGAATGAAGTGACATAAATGCGCGCACACAAAATGAAACAGGGATGCGTTGTGATTGTTAACCGAGTGATCAATAATGAGGCTCGATATTAGACTATTTTGAAACATATTGCCGATATTTCAAAAAGTGTTTGATTTCTATATTTTCAGACCCAGAAGACACGTTTGAAGCTCAGTATTTATTCACGGATTATAAGACATGTTGCATTGTGAAAGGCCCTTACGGTGGTAGTGACAGTAAGAATATTCCATTTACTATCTTTTTTTACTATGATGCATTGTCAAGTTTCTTTTTGTCGCAGATTGTGTATAACAGTTATTAAGGGTCACACGTCAAAACAAAAGTTTAAATTTATAAAGGAACATTTGATATACCAATATCCACTCCTATGACGCAATTACAACACAGTAATGACGTCGTACAATTGCATGCGATCATATCACACACACACACACACACACACACACACACACACACACACACACACACACACACACACACACACACACACACACACACACACACACACACACACACACACATACACGCGCGCGCACGCACACGCACACACACACTTTTGTGTTATAGCGATTCCATTGACGTAGAGGTCAACAGTGTTCCGTTTGCGGAATTGTAAAACAAGAATGTAAAAAAAGCAACATGATAGGTTCAAAACATGAGAGTAAACATTCGACAGAAGTCTGTCTGGTTGGGTATGAAACTGCGAGATGATTTAGACTCCAACCAAAAGTTTTGAAGCGTTTCGGAACTGACTTGGTTCCTTCCTCAGGGCTGGCTGCGGAGGCTACTAGCAGCGTCGTCTGCAAAGCTCTCGCGGGGTGGCTAATGACCCCCCCCTCTCTCTCTCGTTTTGCCGTGGAGCGCAGTCCGTGTGAATACACTGGGGGGATTCGCTCGCAGGATTTCAAGCTGGACGGTCGTGCCCTCGCGATCTCCGACGCCAGCGTAGCTCCCGCCGACTGGTTCGCCCTCCGCGGTCTCCTGACGCCGTGCAGCTCTCGCATTGTGGTGCCCCGCCTTTGGACTGCTTTGACCGGATCCCCACTTTCCTATCTCCTTCTATTTTCTGTCGCTTGCCTCTCTATTTCTTCACCTATTTCCTTCTATTCTTTTTATCCCTCCTTCCCCCCACCCCTAAAAGGCACTGCGACGTGTCGCCTATAGGCAGACAGAAATTAGGTGCCTCCTTCCTTTTCCTTACGAACCACTACCACCACCACCACACTGGGGGAAGGGTTCCGAGAGAGCGGTTGATATTATGGGCTGTCCTCTGTATGTGCGACGACTCGAGTAACAACCTTCTCCTCCAGTTCAGCTCGCTTTCAAGGATGGCCATCGCTTCGAAATTTATTTTGTCATCCAACGTATCAGCATGTTCGGTGACTGCGCTGCGCTCTTTGTAGAAATTCCGCCCATCGTTGGCGTCTTGCTTCAGTCGTTCCGGTAGGTTTTTCGTCTCGCCGATATACAACAAGGGGCACTCGGCACACGGAATTTCGTAAACGACACCGGGGCGCCTGTCTATTGTCGGCTCGTCTTTCGCGCGTGGGAGGAGGTGGCCCAGCGTACACGGAGGCACGTGCGCGATGTAAACTCCTTCCTTCTTGAAGATCCGCGCTAACATCTCGCTGGTTTCCTGAACGTATGGCACCGGTACGCGTTTCAGGGGGCTGCCAATTGAGGTTGATTGTTGTTTTCGTATCCTCTGTTGCTCTGCGTGGCGGGTCGTGGCTCGAACGAAGTTTTTTGGATATCCATTTTTTAGGTCAGCAATTACGCGCGTCTCCTCTTTATTTCTCTCGGTGTCATTAGAGAATAAGTTCTAGCTCTCTCGAGTAGCATGGTCACAACCCAGACCTTGTGGCAGGCGGGGTGGGAAGAATTGAATTGAAGGTAGCCGCCAGTGTTTGTTTGATTCCTATGAATGGAGAACTCCAGGCCGTTGCGCTTTCTTGCCACCTGGACGTCGAGAAAAGGCAGGCAGTGGTCGCCTTCACATTCGGTCGTGAATTGCATGGCTGGGTGCGCGGAATTTAGGTGTTGTCTGAAGTTTTTAATTTCAGGCTTCTTAATGATGCAAAAACAATCGTCCATATAACGCAAAAAAGCTTGGGTCGCGGCGAGAAGGAGCTGAGTGCTTTCTCTTTTATGTACTCTATAGTCAGGTTTGCTATCGCGACGGAGATGAAAGCTCCCATTGCGGTTCGACTGTTCTGTCTGAAAATAGTTTCTTTGTAGAGAACTACGTACTGGAAAGGAGAACTCCAGTAGACGACAAAGCTCGTCAACCGCCAAAGGAGTCCTTTCACTCAGGCTTACGTCCTCCTCAAGTGCAGCACGGGCAGCGGAGACAGCTAAGGGAACCGGCACGTTGGTGAACACTGAAATGACGTCAAATGAGACCATGCTCGCGTCATCACCAATGCTTACATATGACGCTAACTGCACGAAGTGGCTGGCATCACGGACATGAGTTGGTGTCTTCCAGGTAAGTGGGGCGAAGATTTGGTGTAGAAAATTTGAAAGGGCTCGGCATGGGGAGGAAGTGAAGTCCACAATCGGTCGGAGGGGGACGTCAGGCTTGTGAACTTTCAATAGTCCATAAAAACTCGGTGTGGATCCGTTACGGCAGATTAGTCGCAGGTAAAGTGTTCTGAGATCCGAGTAATGCCTGAAAATTTCTGCGAGTAGCTTGTTTAGCTGTGTCTGGGTTTGCTTCGTTGGGTCCTTTACTAGCTGCGTGTATGCGTCCCCTTCTAAAAGAGCTGGAACATTCCGATCGTAGTCCCCGCTGTCCAACACCACCGTCGAATTGCCCTTGTCGGCGGGCAAGATGACAATGCTTCGATCCCGTCGGAGTTGCCGAAGTGTCCGGTTCTCCTCCATGGTCAAGGTTTCTTTTTGTGACGGTAATTTCGAAAGGATCCCAATTGATTTCACCCTAATTTCTTCTCTGGCGCCCGGCCTCACGCTTTGGACGGCTTCCTCTACAGCCGCGGCGAGTTTCGGCAGACGGGGCGTGGTTGACGTGGTATAGTCATGTCCCTTTGCCAGGACAGAAGTTTCCCGATCAGTGAGTGGACGAGATGAAAGATTGGTGACAAACCTGGAATTTCGGGTGCTTTGGGTGGAACTCCGGTCCAACAGGTTGGAGAGTTTCTTATCCTGAGTGGTCAGGTGCTTTTTTTGCCGTCGGTGCCGCAACGAATTTGTGAACGCGTCGACCGCAGACATCAACTCAGGGATGCGGTGCTGAAGTTGACGCTTGGCGAAGAACAGGTCCAGTTTTTTTTCCGCAGAGGGGCGTTATTTCATGAAGGCTCGCGTTGATCAGTCGTTGTTCGGCTCTCGTGACGACTTTCAAGCCCTCAGGGGTCGGACAGGTCGTTTTAGGCGGAGGCTTTGGGGTACAACTGTCTTTTCTTTGCAGGTGCGGCTGACGTCGAGATGAGTCTTGAGGACTGAGATGCCTTCCTTATTGCGTATGTAGTGCTTGACAAGATGCATTGTATCGTATCCGAAGTCTTGGCTGATTGGCTTGAAAGTAAACATTCGACAGAAGTCTGTCTGGTTGGATATGAAACTAAGAGATGATTTAGACTCCAATTAAAAGTTTTGAAGGAACCCGACGTTTGGGAACCGACTGGGTTCCTACCTCAGGGGTGACTTCGGAGGCTACTAGCAGCGTCGTCTTCAAAGCGCTCGCGGGGTGGCTAATGACCCCCCCCCCCCCCCTCTCTCTATCTCGTTTTGCCGTGGAGCGCAGTCCGTGTGAATACATTGGGGGAAGGGTTCCGAGAGAGCGTTTGATATTTAAGTCGTCACCAATCTTTCATCTCGTCCACTCACTGATCGGGAAACTTCTGTCCTGGCAAAAGGACATCACTGTAACATGTCAACGACGCGCCGTCTACCGAAACTCGTCGCACCTGTAGAGGAAGCCGTCCAAAGCGTGAGCCGGGCGCCAGAGAAGAAATTAGGCTGAAATCAATTGGCATTCTTTCGAAATTACCGTCACAAAGAAAAAAAAAAAAACTTGACAATAGAGGAGAACCAGACACTTCGGGAACTACGACGGGATTGAAGCATTGTCATCTTGCCCGCCGACAAGGGCAATTCGACGGTGGTGTTGGACAGTGGGGACTACGATCGGAATGTTTCAGCTCTTTTAGAAGGGGACGCATACACGCAGCTAGTAAAGGAACCAACGAAGCAAACCCAGACACAGCTAAACAAGCTACTCACGGAAACTTTCAAGCATTACCCGGATCTCAGAACACTTTACCTGCGACTAATCTGCCGTAACGAATCCGCACCGAGTTTTTATGGACTACCGAAAATTCACAAGCCTGACGTCCCCCTCCGACCGATTGTGGACTTCACTTCCTCCCCATGCCGAGCCTTTTCAAATTTTCTACCCCAAATCTTTGCCCCACTTACCTGGAAGACACCAACTCATGTCCGTGACGTGAGTTTAACTAGTTTTAATTTGTGGGGTTTAACGTCCCAAAACCACCATATGATTATGAGAGACGCCGTAGTGGAGGGCTCCGGAAATTTTGACCACCTGGGGTTCTTTAATGTGCACCCAAATCTGAGCACACGGGCCTACGACATTTCCGCCTCCATCGGAAATGCAGCCGCCGCAGCCGTGATCTGAACCCGCGACCTGCGGGTCAGCAGCCGAGTACCTTAGCCACTAGACCACCGCGGCAGGGTTAACATGAAAATCATGACCTGCGTGTCATGTAATAAGACTACATTCAGCGCTCATGATGCGCTCGCGGCCGTTTCACTGGCATCTGATATACCAAGTCAGATATTACAGTACGTGAATGGATGACAAAAGTATGCGATTGGAGCAAACATGACAATTATGAGATGCGCGTCATGTCACAACATGACTACATGCCACGCTCATGATGCGCTTGCAGTCATTTCTCTAGCTTCACATGTACGAAACTCTATTACGTGGCGTGAATGGACGACATAAGTAAATGACTCATCTAAACATGATATTCACGACTGCGTCTCACCTACCGACAGGACTACATGCCACACTGATGACGCGCTCGCGGCCATTTCGCCAGCTTCACATATGCCAAAGTAGGTATTAAGCGACACCAATGGATGACGAAGGTATGTGACTGCTGCAAACATAATAATCATGAGATGCGTGTCATGTGAGAACTTGACTACATGCCACAGTGACGGTGCCAATATATTTCGACATGACGTGGTGCGCGTCCTCACCGGTGTTCATTTGGTTACGTCACGCCAGCGTTGCCACGCCAGTGGCACGCATCCGGCGTCCCTCCGTCACGAAGAGAGGGAGACGCGGTGTTGTCTGGGTAACGCATTGGTGCGAAATCCTGCATTTCGCATTTCGCATGGGTTGCCGTCGTGCCGCGCCGGCGGACGCTGGTCGCGCCTGGCGTTATACTATAGAGTTTTCGGGTTTCACTAAGGTAGCGTTGGTGTGCCCAATGTACCCGTGCGTCAACGCTACATTGGAGTATACTGGGCCCTTCATGATGCGCTCGCGGCCGTTTTGCTAGCTCCACATATACCAAATTTGGTGTTACGCGACATCAATGGATGGCGAAATATAGGACTGGTGCAAACATGATAATCTTGACATGCGTGTCATGTAAGAATATGACAACATACCACGCTCATAGCGTGCTCGGGGCCGTTTCGCTAGCTCCACATATACTAAATTCGGTATCATGTGATGTGAATAGATGACGAAGGTAAACGACACATCCAAACATGATAATCATGACACGGAAGTCTTGTACGGCATAATTTAGCTCTACCTTGTAACGTTGTACTGATTTTAAGGTGACGTATTAACATTTATCATTCGTGCTTAACATATCTTCGATTCCTACTGTACGTGGGATCTGCCAATTTTTTTTAATTGACAATCGCACAACTATGAACGCTAAACCTTGAGCAATATTGGTGGGCGCTGCGGATGGGGTTGGCCATTTGGTTCCGTTTCAGGTATCGTTAGGGCGGACAAACAGACAAATGTACAGACAGACGGACAGACAGACAGACAGACAGACAGACAGACAGACAGACAGACAGACAGACAGACAGACAGACCATTAATTTTCCGTCGAAGGTCCGCAAAAGTCTTTAAAATAAGACAAAGCAGGCAGTTCTGTGACAGTTCTGTGCAACGCTTCACACCCTACTCGGAGTTATTTAACACTGTGGCCTGTCGCTTTCGGAGCTCTGGCAAACCGGAACTGAGATTAGTCGCCAGTAAGCAGACTGAAATGATTTTCTGTCATTCCGTGCAGCAGGCGATGTGCCGTGTTATGCCTGACCAATCTCCAGCAAAATACTTCAGCAAAATAAAGTTTCATACCAAGCGGCACACTACGCCACACAATTTAACACTGCTTTTAAAATTTTTTATATAGTATTTTATTGCTTGGCCTTCAAACGAACAAGTCTTTCACTACCACCACTCACACATTTTAAGCGGCAGCAGAACCAGCCAAATTCTATATTACGGCGGTTTACGGAGCCCTGTAATCACTGCGCGTAGGTGCGCAAACCACATCTCGCGCAGCTTTATTCTGTATTTCATGAACATACAAATAAATAAAGAAAGCTAGTGTGAATAGGCGCTCTTTATGAGTAAAACGTTAATGCCGAGCTTCGTTTTTTCAAAGTTGTTTACGCGGTGTACTTTATTTGGTTATTACAGAAGGAACAAAGAAGTCTTTACTCTGCAATATAGACTTCACACCACTCGTATAGTTTAACTTTCTGGCTGGCATTAAAATCTTGAGAAAATTGTGTTTATTATGAAATAATTGGAGTTTCACCAGAATCATCGGCGGGAATTCGTTCTAACAATATGCGATTGTGATAGGGTGCTTGATTTCTGTAGGTAATTAACAATTTTTATGTGACCTCCTGATGGGCTCTCAGTAAAACATACCGAACCTATATTTGTGCCATTAAAGAGAGCACAGTGGAACAGTCACTCGGTTTGGGTTGATGAACTGTGCTAGGAGGACTCTAATGCCACAAGTTTTATCACATAAGTTCAACATTAGAGAAAAAATGAAGATTGAAGAGTAATTTTTGAATTTCGCGCCGAATTCTCCATGCGATGTCACTGTATTCAGAATGTATTTTTCGTATTTTCGAAACATTGGTTCGATCAAATTTTCTCAAATTTTGTTTGGTAGGTATATGAGCCCCACATATGACAATGTACATCACTTTTACTAATTACAAACCATGTTCGACACAGTAGACGCCAGAAATGTTTTCTGCGTCATGTTTTCTTTTCGCGCGTTTGTTCGCTTTCCTTGAGTCATCTAGTAGCAATAGTGGCTCTTTCAGGAATGTAGAATTGTGCTTCACAAATACTAACACCATCCTGCGTGGAACGTGCAGAACACTCTTAGCGAGGGCTGGAGTAGCGGCCTTTCAGAGCCTTTTCTAAGCACGCTTTGGGTAACTGCTACAAGCTAACTTTCTGGGTACCCACTATGCCGTCAATAACCATCATTTTTGTGTAGTAGGCCGGTATGCGCTATGCTATCCTCCGTCGTTCTTTGGACAAGCGTAGTATCCTTTACACACTTGCAAGGAATTTTGTGCAAATTTTTTCATGTAGCGGCTGGCAACGATGACGAATCAAGCCGGATATATGTATGCCCCACAGCTAATAGGTGATCAAGAACAAGCTTTTGTAATGTCATGTAGGATATCACTACCCACTTGTTACGGAATTCGATTTGCGTGACGCCTGGTTGTTCGTTTGCTGTGCTTAAACGCTTTGTTACTCACACTAACGTGATTCTTTAACCAGCATCAAGCTTGCCCAAGGCAAGCTTACAACGAAGTTTCAAGCATCGGCGTGGCTTTGTCAAACTGCTTGCTTATGTTGATGTTGTGGCCATTTTTTCAAAGAACCAACGCAGTATTGAAGAGGCTGTAGACAATGTCTGCAAGTTTAGCCATCTTACAAGTAGTGGAGTTAACTGGCCCATGTGTCTTGGGCCCTGGCACGGGTCATGGCACACAAAACCCCACCTTTTTGCAAACGGGCTCTGAATGACAAATCCGGGCAAGTACTTAGGCATCTTGCTCGATGCGTGTCGAGACAGTGCCCGATATTGTCAAGATTAAGAGAGAAATACGCAGGAGAAAGCTGAGATGTGGAGGGGAGTAGGCTTGTCAAAATTTGCCAGAGCCACTGTATGTAACGTGTTCTTCATAATCAAGTTCTGCAACGTCATGCGGGTGCTGCACTGCTCTCGAACTATTGTGCAGCCGTTTTACAGTGTCTTCGCCGTATTTTTGTGGGCTTCCGAGTGGCATTGGTGCAGCCATACTAACTTGTATCAGTGGGTTAGAAACAGGTGCCTTAAATTTGATCACTTGTTTTGCGGCCGCAAGTTGACAGGTTTTTTGGAGACGTCACGGATCCCTTCTTACGTACACTGTGTGAATTACGACTAGGTAGATGTCTCCCTGAATACGTTGGGGCTACCGAAGCAGATATTTGTGCGTTTTATCAAAAAATAGTTTCCAGAATAAGATTTTGTTCTGTAAGAGCTTCTAAACAATGCTTGTTGATTGTGAAACTATAAGTATTTTGCATTGTGTCACAATGTCTTCCCAGTGCCGCTCTATTAGTTTTTGTGCAATGGAGGCCCAAGCAGCAATGTGTTAAAAACAGTAAAAAAAATACAGGTTCAGCTGAGAACTAAGACTTATTCTAGAAAAATTCATTCCGGCACACTGCCAGTGCGGGTGTTTTTGCAGTAAAAGTAATGCTTTTTTCTCATGGGGCACACAAGTCCCCTGGAACCATAGATGATGTTTTTTACATTGTTGGTAGGACGTGCATTTTTTAGACGTCTTGCAGAGAGCCACCAAAAAAAGGCGTTCCGTTGGATCCGCATAGAACTTGGTTTCTGGACATCGGCAATGACGACGGGGTGCCTTATGATGCCATCATGCTCCTGGGCCTCCATTCTTTGTTGAGGTCGAGAATGGCGGGTCAACATTTCGACGAAATATGGGGCCAACACGAGCCTACTAATGAAAAAGAAAAACTAGCTTCTGTCTATTTACAAAGCTTTCCCAGAGCCATCCGACAGGCTCCCGAGTGTAGAGCCTCCCAATATGATATTAACTCAACTTGATATCACCATCACGCTGGTAGTTAAGGGTGACGTTATGTGCGTTGTTCTGTTTGTGTTTTTACTATCAGGGTCTTATGAGTTATGTTTGGTTACCAAAACCAGGTAATAAAAGAAAAGAATCAGTATGTCTTTGCGGTAGAATTTTGGGCTGGACCGCAAGAAAACTGGGTTTGAATCCCACTGTGCCTTGATGTTTTTATTTATTAACTATTTTTTTATTTGGTGCGGTAGTGGTTATGGAGGACTATGGCGGCGCCCATGTGCATTGTTGTGGTCTCATAACAGCTTTCGCTGTAAAACGTTTTTGCTTTGTGTCCCTTTAGGAACGTGTACATTGTAGGCTCTCATTCATATGCGTTGAACACATGACTTACCTTTTCTTAGGGTGCCTGCTGTTTGTGTCGAAGAACGTGGCCGAAAATGTTCCACAGCCCTGCCTCACCAATTTTGCGGATCTATGCGGTGTCTCGGTGAACTTGCACAGCAGTGAGTTGTGTCCAGAAGACGAGTAAAAACATTCGGAGTGCTAGAGCTCAGTTGCTATGCGTCAGTTTCAAACTTACTTCTTATTGCGATGAACATGAAATACTATTGGTTGTGCCACTTGCCAGCAGCAAAAGGGATGCTTGGGCCAGTTCATTTGCGTTCTTGTTGCAGTAGCGCCAAACACGAAGCACAAAGCCGCCTGACCACTGTTTATTCAAACACGGAGTCTCGCATAATAGAGATATGCGAAGCATTCGCTCTCTGCTAAAGTACTGGTGCGTTTCTTAGCACCCCCATTGCTTTCACTACCTGATTGCGGGCTCACGTAATTGGACAAGACGTAATCTTGTTACAAGTGTAGTTTTTCGTCACTTGTATTGGTTCAGCGCGCATGTTTTTCTCTCTTTTTTCATTTTCTTGTTTTTTTCGCTTGAATAAAGCGACAATTTGTCAATCACAGCTTGTGTTGTCAAGTTCGTCTTTGTAGTTGGTCTTTTCCTCAATTATATTATGAAGCTGTTTAACAGTGTGCGTTTCTGGAACAGTGAGCTAATTAGCTTACTTTTCGTTCTGTACAAACAATGCGCAAAAATAATAGCTGATAGAATTAAGGCAACATTAGAATTTATTCAGCCAAAGGACCAAGCAGGATTTCATACAGGCTACTCTAGAATAGACCATATTCATACTATCAATCAGGTAATAGAGAAATGCGTGGACTACAACCAACCCCTACACATAGTTTTCATTGGTTACGAGAAAGCGTCGGACTTAGTCGAGACATAAGCAGTAATGCAGGCACTACGGAGTCAATGCAATGATGAACCCTACACAAACATACTGGAAGGAATCTATAGTGCATCCACAGCCACAGAGGTCTCCATAAAAAAAGTGGCAGAATCCCAAAAAAGTGAAGTGTAAAGCTGGGAGACACGATCTGTCCAATATATTCTCCACGTTTTCACAGAAGCTTTTCAGGGCTCTAGATAGGGAAGAGTTAATGATGAGAGTAAATAGAGAGTATTTGGTTAACCCGTGATTCACTGATGACATTGCCTTGATGAGAAGAATTACAGCTCATAAATTCTGAACCAGACAAGGAAAGTAGATTAGGTCTGAAAATTAATATGGAAGAAAGTAGAGTAATGTGCAGCAGTCTCGACAGAAAACAAAACTTTGTGATAGGTGGAGAGATGCTGCAAGTTTTAAACGAATATGTCTACTTACAACAGGTAGTAAACGCGGAGCTGAACCATGAGAGTGAAATAACTGGCAGGATAAGGATGGGCTGGATCACATTCGGCAAGCATTCTCAAATCATGAATGGTAATCTGCCACTGACCCACAAGAGGAAGGCATACAACAGCTGCAACTTGTTGGTTCTTATCTACATAGAACAAACCCGCATGTTTACAAAATGGGTTAAGCTTAAACTGAGGATGTCTCAGCGAGTGATGGAAAGAGATAGGTGTAACTTTTAGAGACAAGAAGAAAGCAGAGTGAAGGGTAAACAGAAGGTTCGGCGGGCCGATAAGATGAAAAAGTTTGCAGGTATAACGAGGTAGCAAAAAGCGCAAGACTGTCTTGATCTGCAAATCACGAGAGATGCATTTTCCCTGCAGTGGGTGTAGTGAGGCTGCTGCTGATGATGATCTCTGCGCCAAATGGTATGTGACGACAAGGTAAAGGGTTCTAGCGCGTAACAACAATCAAATTGAAATTATTTATGTCTTGACAGGGAATTGGAAAGGAAATTCACTAAACGTTTCAAATTAAGAAGAAGGGCGATGCATTCGCTGTCTGTGGTATCGCCTATGAACTATTTGGTCCGACATTCGCCTTCATGACATTCGACCTTCGTCTTATTGTTTTACAGGTGTTCGTCTTCGTGAGCGCGAAAATCCGCATGGTATAAAATTACCAACTTGGTCTACAACAAGCTCTATGAGGAATTTATAACTTTCCCTTTCTGTGCACGTGTTAAAATCAAGTCAAAATTACATAATATCGCCGATGTGGAGCACGTTTGTATCATATGGCATCCTTTTGCGACCAGTTATTTAAGAATTACCTTCCAATAATGAACTATATTTGTAAGTTCAGCTTTGTCCTGTGCGCCTGTTCTTCATGTGCTCGGGGTGTTACGTGTAGGAACCCTTCACCTTGTTACTGCTGATGGTGGATCGGTATCGTTGCTTACTCTCAAGCCATGTCAAAAGCACGGAACAATCGCCAGCAATAAAAGTGATATGTCTTACCTTTCTTACAAGTCACTTAAATCCTGTTACAGTTTGCCAATATGAAAGTTTTTACGGAGAGGAGCATTTCATTCTTTCAGGGCTGTTGCACGAGAGTACGAAAGCCAACGTGACAGCCTCACCAGTGCATTTTGGGGGAGGGGGTGGGGGCTCACGCGCGCTAACAACAGCTCAGAGAGGACTACGGTGGCTCCCAGAATGCCTCGAAGGAAAAGGTCTATACTTCACATCATTTTTATTAGTGAACAGGTCACATTTTTCAGAAACAGGGGCCGGATTCACAAAACTCACTTACGAAAACATTTTTGCGCAAGAGAAATTTTGTTGCGTAAGTCGATTCACGAAACGAAAAAACGTCGTAAGAGGCCATCGTTGTCCCATCGGCCGCTGCAATAAAGCGCGCTGTGACTGCTCGGGAACATGTCAGCGATGGTGATGCAGCTGCTATATTTGCTTACGTCACCGAAAAGTGCTCGTAAGAGGATTCACGAAGCAAAATTGTGCGTAAAAACAGCGTGGCTGAGAGAAAATCCTAAGAGTGGTCCGGATCTCTCTTAGGAACAATGTGGCTACTTAGACCCTGCCGCCGCGGCGGTATACTTTGGTTCCCTGGCTGGTTTTGAGTTATTTCACGCCCATGAAGGGCTGCCTGATGACTGCTGGTGCATTTTTATTTCTTTCGGCGCTTTGAGTTTCGTGTGTTGTTTCCCTTGTACGCAGTGGATGGTGTTAACAACCACCGTCGTCCAATAACTTCGAAGTCGCAGTAATTGAAGAATTCTAATGGGCGTCAATGGCGTAAAATTATGCATGTAAGATTTGTGGTTGGATGAAAACCAATGTGATACGTGAATGGTCGGCGCATTCGAACACGGCATGGCATAGGATCAACCTTATTTGTTATGTTGCTGTGTTGCGCCCCATCTCATCCAATTAAAAGTGCGACTCGAGATCCTTGCCTCATAGGTGGAAATTACCACCAAAGGGGTTAATGGAAGCACATTTCTTGCACGCTATTGGAAATTAAAATGAGAGGAAGATTTTAGTGAGTGGTTCATAAAGCTTGTGCTCTAGTGTACTTTCATTGGCTCTAACTGTCCAATGGGTGCGATCTCTGAAATACAGCTGTCGATACACTTTGGGACGATCTGGAACAAAGCGTACTTTGTAAACCGAAGCATATTAGGGGTGCGCGTGATTGCGCATGGAACTACAAACAAATCATGCATTTCACCTTCACTGTTCAGACACCGATGTGGACCGTGATAATATGGCCAGCAGTTGGAATAAAACGACCCTAGTAACTTTGTATGACACCGAAAATATGCAAACCCTCACGATTCTGGAGCAAACCTTGGCTGAATTCATCCCTGCGTCAATTACCAGCCATTTATCTTGGCGCACGAACATCATTCAAAGGTAGAGCGAGCCACTGATATGTATTTTGTGCGACGCAGCGACCAGTTCACCTGAGAATAATAGCGTTGCGAAGGCGAATGTCCTATCACATGCTCTGATCGAAGCAGACGACAAACGCGAGCAGACGACGGCTTGGCCTACGGGCACAGCTTGTGATTGGTTGTGAAGCAATACCCTCTACATCAGCTCACTCCGTGACGTTGCCAAAACAATTCTTTCATCTGGCACGCCTGTCGTGTTCGTCATATTACCCCCCTCGCACATAAGAGAAAATTTTTTCACGCCGTGAAAATAGCGCAAGTACTTTCTAAGAGCTCTCTTACGTGCTGCGCAGTTGTCGAAACCAACATGGCGTCGTAAACAGCATATCGGAGCGACTTTCAGCAAACGCTTCTCGCATGAGTTACTTCAGCGTTCGGCCGGATGCGTTGGGATTACGACAGCTCTTTCAGTGCGTGTAATCAGAGCGGAAAGTGCGGCAGTGCAATGGTGTACGGTGAAGTGCAGCGAAGCCTGTGCGTCGGTGTGGTTATCAAGCGGGGATCGGCGTCGGTGTATCGACGGCAACTAGCACTCGAGAAGCCTGCAATGTGTGTTTGTGTGCCGGTAACAGTTCGTTTGCTTGACTTTCCAGTGTCTCTGTTGGGTGCTGTGCGACATTTCGGATTGACAGCGTTTTGGCCCGTTACTTGAGTGACCCCAAGTACGTACGGAAACGTATGAACTACGCGCTGTGTTCGGTTCTTGCTTCGCCACTGGTTAACCCGTACGCTTCTATTTTCTTGAGAGAAATCTAGTGTTCGGGAGTGAAACGATGTTCGTTGGGAACAGTGGTGCTGTGTTGACGTTCCAAGACTTGTGAACAAGCTGTGCTCGTGTGACCGAAAATTCAAAGACAGCGTTCATAACTGTTTTGCCCGTCGACGTTGTGGTGGTGGAGCTTGGCGCTTTTGTTTGTTAACTCGTCACTTCTCCTTTTTGTAATAACCATAGTCCTAGCGCTGGGATGTGATGAACCAAAGCTGCGAGATGCTACATTCTGTAGTAGATCGTGTTACTTTGGCAGCGCGCCTAGACTGTTCTTCGGTAAGAACTTGAGAGTTCTATGTGGCAGCGAGAGCCCGTGAACTTTAAGCTTCCCTCCGGCCCCCATAAAGAGCTAAGATTTCACCGGTGCCTTGCTTTGGATGAAGTTGTAGGCCAATACCGCCTAACTACAGGTTTCCGAGTTCGTCTGGCCATCGTTTTGCCTGGCACTAGAGCCTTGACAATAGCCGGTCATGGCGAGTTCTTACACTTCACCAATGGACGTGCACGCCTGGCCAGCCCTTCATTGCTGTCATCGGCAGTTTCCAGCCTGCTGATGTCCTTTGCCTGTTGGCCGTAGAGCACACTTGGTTCCTCATGACACCGACGGTTATTAAATGCTGCCATCAGTGAGTTCACCTTGCAGAACTAAATTTCACTGGTACTATAATTCATGCAGTACTATAACATGTGCAAGTTTTTGAGCCCATCAGATGTAATGTTTCCCTATGGTAAGTTGAAGCATGAAAAATTTACTACTACTGTTATATACACACATATATTATGGAGCAAATACATCAGAAGATTTGGTGATTTGATACAAGTGAGCTCTTGTTTGAATATGAGGTTGGGCCTGTCGATTTACCACGTTTGATAGTTGGAAAGTTAATTTTAATTTATTTTCCAGAAGCCAGGTAGCACTTAAGAAATTTATGTTATTTTAGAAGATTAGTTCTATAGACGATTACCACTG